GCAGATGGTTGTTTAGAACCACACTCAAACCTTAATTGCAGTTCAGATTCAGACCCAGTGTGACAGATATCCCCCTGCAACATTAGGCTGGTAACTTCCTTTTTTCCCAAATGTGAAAATGTATGTACTGTAACTTTTACAGACAGGTTCCTCTGGCCATCAAACCTTGAATGACACATTGTGACACCCAAAAGAGTATAAAGAGATTGTGTATTGCCAGTACAAGTACACTTGGTGCAAGCAGTTCCAGAGGTTTGAGTACATGTGAGACATTCTACCTGAGTCTTGATATTCAAAGGGAATTGATAGTGCTCTTCAACCATTCTACTAAGGGGTTGATAAATTTTGGGATGCTACAAAAGTAAACAAAAATTTATGATGAAGTGGAAACTATTTCGAAAATTTTCAGAAACAAAAAAAGTTTCTCGAAAAATCACAAAGGAAAATATCTTTAGGACAAAGAAAACCCCTCTACCAAAAATTTTTCCTGTGTGTATGGAAGCAAACTCCTAAGTAAAACAGAATAAGGAGTCTGCATGTAGTACTGGCAGGTGGTAATCACCTAATTTCCACAAACCCTTTTGCAGGTATATATTGCATAGAAGATCTGTGAATATTCTCAAATATCTTTGTGAGCATAATATTTGAATTTTCTTGAGCTGCGCCAAAAATGCCCAGAAACTACTAAGTGAAATATGGGCTCCAACGAATAAAAACAAGTTCTGATGCATCCATTGTGTCATTATCATATTACTCAGAAATGTTGAAAACATTATTTCAATACATATTCAACTCCAGAACATCTATTAATTCCTCCATTCTACTCCGAAATCAAGAATCTTCCTAGATCTGGCATATTTTGCAATTGTGATAATCATGATGGTGTAGCATTTTATGATACAGGTGTGTTATACTTAGTGTTGCTCTACATATCAAAGAGATGCTGTGGGAAAACAATATTGTCCAAAAATAAATGCTAGGTGTCCCAAAAACTGAATGTTTCACTTGCGGGTCATATTCCACTTATATACTTATTTTCCTCTGTGATTTTTTGAAAATCTTTCTGTAGTCATTTTCCCATGAGAATAATCCCAGTGGTGGCTAAGCCAGGCCCTTACTTGGTTTTCAACCCCCTGCCATATTCAAAACTAACACTTGCAGTGCAAGGTGGTCAATATCTCCGAGGCTTCATATGTCCATTTTGGTGACTGGTTTGTATGGAGAGAAATTCCCATGAAGGGTGTAAGAACAATTTCTATGTTTCTGATTTTCTCAAAACTTGCCACCGTCCGTAAAAGTGAAGTCTTTCAAGGCTTTATGATCAGCAACCACTAAATTAAAGTCAAATCAGAGTCCGGTCCGAGTCATTTATTTGAACACAGGATGTGCACTCTCTGACGGGCCTGAAGAGAAAGAGAGAAATCCAAAAGATCGAGCTTTTGACTCACCTTCACCGATCCCAGTGTATCTAGCGACTTCTTTCAGAGAACTATCTACTTTACGAGGATAACCCAGGGAGATCTTGTTTTAGCCATGTTCTCTGGTGACTGATTCAATTTCCTCTCAGAGCTCCTTAATGATATGATCGGGTTGGACAGCAAGCCAGTAGAGAAACACCCTACATAAGTGGTACCGAATCACCCGTGGACATCAAGATCAGGAAAACAGAAAAAACTCATTACGATATCGTTGTGTGAATAACAGCCATGTTAATGTTCAACAAATCATTGACAGTCCGGTACTCTCCTCCGGCTTCTTCATCAGCAGATAAATTCAGGGGACCATCATGTAACAAAAAAATCAGATAGAGATGATCAAACTCTGAGAAGACTCAGAAGAAGGTTCACTCCCACTTATACCATTTCAATTTGGACCCTTGCAATCCTGTGCTAGTGTAAGTATCATAAATGTCTTGGAATCTACATCAGTAGAAGAATCATATAACAAAGAAGAATCAGACAGAAATGATGAAGCAACTTCGGACTTGGACTCAGAAGAATACAAGGATGTAATAAAATTGACAAACTGGTACAATGCGCTGCTATACAAGACACAAGGTGAGTGGAGCTCACGGAGATTTACTAGTACAGTAGTGCTCTTCTGGTGGCCTCAAAAGCGGAACGGACTCACAGAGATCTTGTAGAAATCATGATTTGTCACCATGCCGAATAACCGGCATATCCTTTCCTCTCCCAGGGAAAGGCGGAGGTCGGCCAGGTGCGGCAGGCTGACCTGTCCCTTTGAAGTTTGAGCCTCGCTCTTTCAACACCGATAGAAAGCCCGACCCGATGTGTAAGAAACTTGAGTTTTATCAGCCGCTTAGCACGCTACTGCACTGCCTTAGGAGAAAAAACTTCTCCGAACAAGGAGAAGCTTACTTATATAAGGCGATCTGAAGTAGTCAGCTTCCCTAGGCCTGACCTTTATTATCTGCTCCGACCGAGCCGTGCTTCTCTTAATTCCGAAAGTTCGAGACAGAATTCCTGAAGGCATGGTTTTCTTCACTCTTTCAATCACCCACGTGGGTTTAGCCTTTACTCTTTTGGTTGTCTATATCATTGCTCGTACAACATCTTGGAAACACTCTTCTCTTCCTCTTCCCCCCGGACCACGACGTATTCCTCTAATTGGGAATCTTCTCGACATGCCGTCTAAAAAAGAATGGGAAACCTTTGCGAAATGGGAAGAGAAGTATGGTGCGTCCGGATTCATCATATTAACCTTCACTCTTGTGTACTGAATCGCTCATTCTTTTGAATTGAATTTTTCATTCAATCAAGGTGATATCGTATCCGTAACTGGTATGTGTAATCCTTACCACCCAGAAACTGCTAAACCACCGGTCTAAGAACCTGTTTGATTTTAGTTTTCGGACAAACTATGATCATCCTGAACTCTACTGAACATGCAGTAGAGCTCCTCGACAAAAGAAGTGCCATTTATTCTGACAGACCCATCGTTCCGATGGGTGGTGAGCTAGTCGGTTGGAACAGAGCCATAGGTCTTCTACCTTACGGAAAACGTTTCAAGAAATACCGTCGCCTCGCCAAACAGTTATTTGGAAGTCCAAAGACGATGGAAGCTTTTCATCCAGTCGAAGAAGAGGAGGCACATCGATTATTGAAGAGGGTCGTATCGAACCCAGAAGAGTTTGCTAATCATATTCAGAAGTGAGTTCTGGCTTATTTAATGTACTGAGAAATACTTAACGTTCCTTCAGGATGGCTGGAGCAACCATTCTTCGTGTGACACACGGGTATCGGGTTCAGGAGGGAGAGGATCCGTTCGTAAAACTGGCGGATAAAGCTATGCTACAATTCGCTGCGTCGACTTCTTCAACTGGCTTCATGGTGAACATGATCCCAGCTCGTACGTGTCCCGTATGTTTCTAACAGGTGTCAGCTTCCAGTTGACATTGTTATGCTCTGTTCCAACAGTCAAATATGTCCCCGAATGGGTCCCAGGTGCTGGTTTTCACAAGATTGCGAAGGAATGGGCCACCAATCTGGAAGAAACGGTGGAATTACCGTTTGAATGGGTAAAAGCGCAAATGGTATGCCCCGTTAATTATCAGTAACTGCAGATTCACTGTTTTTGCTGAAATTCACCTGCGTCATCAGGCTAACGGGACCGCTGAAATGTCCTTCCTCTCAAGCATGCTCAGTCAACAACCAACTAGCAAAGAGGAAGAATATGACGTCAAGTGGACAGCTTCGTCTCTCTACACTGGTGAGACCTTTTATATACTTCCTACCAATGATTCTAGAGTATTAAGTATGCTCATCTGGCAGCTGGAGTCGATACTGTGAGTTCTGATTCACGCTGAGTAACCTCCTTTGAACTCGAACATCCTGACTTAGGCCCTTTCCAGACCGGTGTAGCACAAGTCTCATTTTTCAAAGCCATGCTTCTCTGGCCCGACGTAGTCAAGAAAGCTCAAGCTGAAATTGACCGCGTGATTGGGAATGATCGACTTCCTACATTTGCTGATAGACCTAACTTGCCTTACCTAAACGCTCTCGCACTGGAGACTTTCAGATGGCATTGTGCCGGACCGACAGGTGTGTCTCAAAGTCCATCTACACCATTGGTTGTTTGAACTTGATTGAATCTCCAAGGAATCCCTCACCGGTTGATGGCGGACAACATCTACAACGGGTATTTCATACCAAAAGGTCGGTTCATCTGTGACCTTGATTGAACATCATTGACGTTCCGTGCGTGCTCCGGATCCTTGGTAATGCCAAATATCTGGTATGCTCCCTTCTTCTCAAAGACTGCAGCCGTTTTGTATAAACTTGTAAACTTTCCGATCATCATCTAGGCAAATGACGCATAACCCTTCGACATACCCAGACCCATGGGTCTTCAAGCCTGAGCGGTTCTTGACCATAGACGGACAAGAACCACAGATGGATCCTAGAGACCTGTGCTTCGGATTCGGGCGAAGAATCTGTCCCGGCAGGTCTTGACAATCTGCAGCTGAACACATGAAAACTAAATATTCACTCACAGGTCGTGTCCTTGCTGACGCTTCGGTCTTCATCTCTTGTGCTATGATCCTCGCTGTCTTTGACATTTCTCCTTATGTGGAGAACGGAGTACCTGATGCACCACCTGATATTGAACAGGAGCCTGGGTTAGTCAGGTAAGTTTTCGAGCTTGCTTTACCATTCTGTTACTTACTGGTAACGAAAAAAAAAAATACCTGTTTTTTCTTCAACTTATAGCCATCCTAGTAAGTTCAGATGTTCGATCACACCTCGTTCAAATAAAGCACTTTCCTTGATTATGGGAGATGAAAGTTGAACAACTTTGGATCGATACCGTCTTAGCAGTGTATTGAAGATATATGTATACTACCACATCCTTATGATTATCCTCTTTCCCGTATGGCAGCGTCTTCGTGAAGGGAAAAAGACTTTTAGAAGGTAGATATATTACCGTGACGTACTGTACTGATATCAAGCCTTTGGAAAAAAATCGACAAACATTACATGCGACCACGGTGAGACTCGAACTCACAATCTCTAGCTTGATCTCTTTCTTCATCAGGAAACCGGAAACTAGCGCGTTAACCATTACGCTACGCGGCCACCTACTGAGCGTTGCCGGACATGACCCTGTCATCTGATTGGCCCCCGACTCTCTTGTCAGTTTAACGACTGCACAGACAGTACTATTCTATGAATCATTCAAGATGGACTCTGGAGATACAACGAGAGCTTTGGTATATATATATATGAAGCTGGTTAAGATTATAATATTTTAATAATATTCATAGGTAAAATCTAGTATTGGAATATCGAGAAGCAAACATGCAAGCAAAAAGCAAAAAGGTACTGTTGTCGCCCATTAACCTGTAAAGAGCGTTATTATGTAGGACAATATGGCCTATGACGAGATGACATCAAGGATTAGACGTTAGACCACTCGTGCCGCTGCCTTCGAAAGCCTTTTCTTCTCTCAGCTTCGTCGCTTCAACGTTATCACAAACCAACAACTCTCTTTACTCCACAACCCCCCTCTTTTCACTCCGTGTCCAGCCTTCGACCAGGATATCGAACTCGGCCAGTCAGAAAGTTGCGCGCAGAACAGGGGAACTTGATCAGCCCTCGATTACTGAATCCGGTCCCATTTACTCATACACGAGTATCCATCATAATCTACAACAACAAGAGGCAAAGAAAAAGATTTTACCAAAAGGTCAGCGCCAGCCGTCAAAACAAAAAACAAAAAAACAAAAAAGACAACTCACCGAAACTCCTCTGTCTCGAACAAGAACACCTTCCTTTTCTCCATGTTTCTTCCTTTTGTGGACAGTGCGTGTACGGGTTGTGTTCGTACCCAATCTCGTCGAAAAATTGGATTTTCCATTTGGGTAGGAAGAGCGCGGCAGCGAGGGAATGGACTGGTGCATCACCCCAACGCTGTTTTTACCAGGCCAGGTTGTTTCGAAGAGGAGGGGTTTCGTGGATTAGGTTGCGAGCGCCGGCAAGAAATACGACGACGTGGACGCAGGACAGAGGAGTGGAAAGTAGGAGAAAAGTGAAGGACGAGAGGGGTGTGATCAACATCGACGCAACAGCGAGCATGCCAACAGACTACAAACATACCTCATAGTAAAATCCACCTTTCTTATCCAGATAGTCAAAATAGTCCATATACGCCTCCGACCGCCAAAAGTCCATGTCCGCGATCTCAAAGTTTGACCAGACTTTGTGTCACATCATTTGAATAGGGAGAAAGTCAGTCAGTCAGCTTCGTTCCTGGAAGGGGAAGGAGGGTCATTGAGACCGGTACTCACAATGACACAGATTATACGTGCTTCCTCCATTCTCACTCACAAAGCCCATAGCGTTATCTTCTGCTATGTATTCAGGGTGGAGCTTGGCGAATTCTAGAAACAGGTGAGAAAAAAAAAAAGCAAAAACGATTAGCATTCCCATCACCTCACGACTTAAATGAGCAAAAAGCCAACAAAACCCCCCAAAAAGAAACAAAAAACGAAAAAAAAACTCACTCATCGTCTCCTCCCAAAGCGTCGGTATCGTCTTCTCAAACTCATACATCGTGATCGTGAACGCATAGACCTTCTCCTTTTCCTCCATATACAAGAAAGGATCAAAGTTGATGTCACAGTGGAAGTGCACGTCGGAGTCGAGACGCCAGTACCATCGGTATTTTTGAACGAGAGGGTGACGGAAGAAGAACTAAGAGAAGGGAGTTAGGACCATGTAAGGTTGGATTTGAATTAAAAAGACAAAAGAAAAAAGAAAAGAGAGGAAAAGTAGAAGGATAAGTAAGGGTAGAGGGTACACTCACACCACTGTTAAACCGACACATATTCCTGTAACTGACACTTCCTCCGTAAATCACTCCTTCTTCAACCAACTTGTTTCGTCCCTGTAACAGCAGCAACAGAAAAGATGGTTGATAGATCAGTAAGAGCATAATGACGACAAGCAAGTGGACTGGTAAGTAATACTCACAGTAGTAGCCTTCTCCTCATCAATCCAATCAGGCTGAACCCAATCCGACTTAGGGATGACCCCAAACTCCATTTTCGCTGTTGTCAACACTCGCAGGCGCCTAACCAGAAAAAGATAATCAAAAGAAAAGGCAGAAAAGGTTAGTAACACGTCCGAGCAACCGCATAAGCAAACAGAAAGGACGACTGGTAGACCCTCCCAGCTGGGCCGACCAACCATACATAGCCCAGAAACAAACAAAAGAATAGCCAAGAAATCCAAAAAGAAAAGGAGAAAAAGGAAAAACTCACTCCTTAACCTCTTCCTCCCATTCCACATCATTCAAAAACACATACGGATACCTCCAATGTCGATTAAACCTGTCCTCCATTTCCCTTACACTCCTCACCATGCCATCCACGTCCGTGTTCCTCGCGAGAACGACAAAAGTAGCGTTCGCTCGTGGGTCATGCACCAACGTGCCGTTGTTGTATACGTCTGGGTCTAGGTTGAGAAGGGGACGAGTGTCGTATGCGGATTTGTCTGGGGAAAGAAGCAGGGGAAGGATATAGGTGAAGGATGATGGGAGTAATGAAGGAAGAGTAAGGGAATCCATAAGGTAAAAGAGAACGACGCGTATATCAGTCAGCTCGGAGCTCATGAATGTGCATGTAGGGACATGGAAACTCACCTTCGTCAGCAGACGAAGATCCTCCTCTGAAATGCGAAGTCAACGAAGACAGCGATGTAGCTTCAGAGTAAGAAGAATGCGTGAGTGTTAGAATGTAGTGTAGCGTTATCTGTGGTTCATTCGAAAAAACAAGCGGTCAGTCAGTGTGTTGTGTTTGTGGTTATGCGGTATTTGGGGAAGTTTTCATAAAAAAGGATAAGGAAAGATAAGGAAAGATAAACACAGACTAAAGAAAAGATCTGAAGGTGAAAACATGTCCCTGTCCATGAAGAACTTGGCCAACACGATTATGCAGTTCGACAGAAAGTTGCGGGGGACCAGGTCAACCCCGCGCCTTCACGCCCTAACATGACTTTTTTCCCTCTGAGACCCAACTACAACCCATCCTGCCCTATCCTGTGGACGACCGCTCACGCAACTGCATACGCTGAACGGAAATGACATCTTCACGAACCATCTTCACTACCAAACCAACTTTTAACTTTTCTCCATGAAACAACAACCGGGAATCTCTACTTCTGAAAACCCTCTCCCAAAAACTCTAACCCAGGAAACCCTAGCTCAAGCGGTGCCCATCAACCCGTCCATCCATCCAAAAAGACAAGACAAAAGATGCCCGAGCAAAGCAAGTAAGGACTGAATTACGAACAAAGCCGTGCCCCAAATGTCCAAAAATTGATTTCGGACATAACCCCCCATCCTAATAGTCAGTCCATCTCTCACCCTGTGTCAACTCAAAGACACCGCCATGAGAAAAACATCGCGCACCGCCGCTCTGCCCTTCAAGACTAGCCGCGCATGTCCGAAGAAGCCAAAAATAGATTCCTCTTCCCCTTGTAATTCCTGTTGTTATTCCATTCATAAATGGTTATTATACCGCCCTTCCATCATCATCATCATCATCATCAAATCTTCACTGACGCGTTCTTCATCTCCTCTGATCACCTTCTCAACTATCAAATTTGCTACCCGAAGGAACAGAGGGGCTCCACAAACCAGTTGAGAGAACAACTTTTGTGCTCCACACCTAGATCAGAAGCCTCACGACAACGACAACGACAACGACACATCAACCGAGAGGGTTCCACCTGTCAACCGAGCTAACCATCCTACCCGAGAACGCGAGCGGGAGAGAAGGACGAAAAAAGAAACAAAATGACAAGTGCCGGTGCAGCAACAGCAACTCATGAAACTCCAAAAAACGAAGCCGACAGCAACAACAGCCATGATACCCGCGGGGTCCATCCGTCGAGTCTAACACCATAATCGATAAATCCACTTCCCCCTGGTGACAACCCTCCGAGCACCCGAGTATATGCCGAACGTACGGGGTTCTCCGTATGACTGCGCAAAAAGAAAAAAAAAAGAAAGAGGGAAATCTATTGCGTCCCGACGGATGAAAAGAAGCGCCTGCGGAGACCTTTTGCCTAGAACCTTGTTCCTTGTTTCTTACCGTCCTCAGACGGTCAAAGTAAACCGATTATCAATGATCTCTGTAAGAAACCCCAATCCAACAATCCATGAAAATGTTAAACCCATCTTTTATTTTTTTGTCCAACTTGTTGCATGACGTCAAGAAGAGAATACTAGATAGTTCTTTTTGACATAACCATGCATGCTGCATATTCGAAAAGCAGCGGCGAAGAAGAGGTAACAAAACACAAAAGAAACGGAGAAAGAGAGAAGAACAAGGGGGAACGAAGCGGTGATAACAAAGAGAACTCGAGGGGAGAGAGTGAGAGAGAGAAAACTCACTATGACACCGAGCACGATGAGAATGTACCTCATAGTCAGATTCATTTTGGAGAACATGAGCTAGTAGAGTCGTTGAGACACGTCCTTCGCCCGTTCCACAACCGTCAGGAATGGGTAGAGATATATAGTGGGGGTCCTTCTTGTCTTTGGTCCTCTAGAGCTCGTAAGGTAGATGTTTTGTTCGTTACGTCGCGTGTCCGGGGCTTGTGGAAGTAGTTGTGGAGGTAGTTGTGTGTACGCGAAGCCCAAGGCCTGGCAGAGGGTAGTGTAGCACCGGTGAGAAAGAAGAGAGTAGTTTGTGAACGAAGAAGAAAGAAGAAGTGAAGGTGAAGATGGGGAAGGTGGAAGTTTGAAGGTGAAAGTTGAGAAACAAGGATAAGAAGACCAGCGTCGGTTCATGTTGTATGCATGACACCGCATTGACAAATTGGAATGAGCAAAGTAACCGGTTCGGTTCAACCGCGCGTCTTATCTCTCTCCACCTAAGTATGCCATAATTGATCCAACCGTGCATCGTCCCACAGTTGATCACCAACTCTCAGTCCGCATCAACGAACATCACAGCAAATCCTGCATAATACATATTCGGTGCACAAACACCGTGTTTCGACAGTTTTCGACCAGACGAGACGAGCGGAAGATGTGAAATTGTTCGGAATTTTGGAAATCTCACGACGGC